CCCCCTCCTCCCGTCCCTCCTCCCGCCCCTCCGTCGTCCTCTGGCCCACACGCCGCAGCCCGCAACACCCAACATGGCCCCCAGTGCCCCCTCTCCCGCCAGCCGCACCTGCTATTCGCCCTCCCTTGGCCTGCAACTCACTCGGCGGGCCAACTGCTCCATTCAGCCGTGTTGCATCGCTCGTCTGCTTCTACCCATTGGCCTGTCACTTCTTTTCGTCATTCTACCACCACCGCCCATCGATCCAACGACGCTGCCCGTCGACCTACTGATCCTGCTGCTCACAGTCAGCCCGCCGAACAACGTTCCAGCGGTCGCCCTTGCACGTCCTCGACGTCTGCGTCTTCGTCTGCCAGCCCCTCGGTTATCTCATCTTTGTCCACCGTCTCCTCAATCTCATCCTCCTCCTCTTTGTCCTCTCGCCGCGCCCCTGCCATTTAATAAATCATTCCTGACAATAACATGCCTCCCCCAAGGGTTTACTGCCACGAGCGCAGCCTCAAGGGTGTTGTGAGGATGATCTTGTCGGCAGAAGAAGCAACTCCTCAGGAGAACAGACCGCCGCCCGGGCTCTTAGGTATCGAAGCAGAGCGTTACCTTGAGGCTCACGCTTACCTACCTGCTGCCCACTGGAGTATCTGGTACGCATTCCACAAGGCCTTTGGGCCCGAGGACTTCATAGCCTACTTGAACGACTGTGAGTTCGCTCTACTCAAGGCTGCCTACCTCTACAGCTTGATTTTGGGGGAGCATATCATCGACCCTTGAGGGGTTTGGCTAATCTTTACGTTCTCTTTGTATATAATCTGACTTATAATTCCAAATGCTAGCCAATTGTTTAACTCCCCATAAATATGGCGCTGCTTGCTGCGGTGAAATTTTCAGCTCTACTCCGTCTTTTCTTTTTCTTTTTCATCTTTTCCCTTGCTCACTGCGTTTGTTGTGTTGTGCCATGACTCAAGGTCTGCCCTCCTACCTCAAGCTGAAGAAACGCCAGCCCACCCAACGTCGTTTTACCAAGCCCCACATACCCAAGACACCGGCACAGCGCCAGAGCACGCAGCAGACACAACGCGCGCGGAAGGCCTCGTACAACGAGGCTCTCGAGAAGTCTCAAGAGGTTCTCGTCAGCAAGGCTCTCAAGCTTCACGGAGCATTCGGTGGGAAGAGCGTTGAGCATCACCTTGAGGCCATCGTGCAAACTTCATGCATCAAGGGAAGCCGTCGTAGTATAGATCCTTGGAACGCGTATCTCAGTAAGCGGCTGAGAGCTGTTAATGACAGTCAGTAGTTGCTGCAGTTGTGTTATTATATTTACTAATTTTTCTTAGACCTTGCGCCTGACGCTCAACATCTAACGGCTGCTCAGTTTGGCACGCAGTTGAAGGAGGAGTGGAATAACCTCACCCTGGAGGAGCGTGCCGCCATCACTCTCGAGTCCAGCAAGGACCTTGAAGATGTTCGAGCAAACAAGAATTCTGTCGCTCACAACTTCCTGCGCACCGCTTGGCATGATGCTACAACAACCCTTGGCAACGTCTCCAACATTGTACGTATTCTCCCTCTTGTTCGCTTGCTCTCCGCGCTTATCCCGCACGTGTTTGCAGCTGCATGACCTTGCTTCGCGTACAGCTGTCAAGGTGCTACTTGTCGCTGTCCGCGCCGACGTCGACCACATCATGCGACCTTGGATCTACTCTTCCGACGCCAAGGTTGAAGAAGATTTTCATTCAATTACCAAGCACACCATTGAGAGGTTTTCTATGAGCCTGGAAGCTTGTTCTGTTGCAGGTCTCTCCAGTAAGCTCATTAGCTTTTATTCTTTTCCTGGGTCTTACGGTTCATGACATAGGTCTGGTCAACAACTACCGAGCCCATATTGCCGGCATCAAGCACAGCATTGTCTCTATCATTAACAAGAACCTGTGTACACTGTCTCCGTGCCTGTCAGCATTTGCGCGCTAATTACTCAGCTCAAGTCACACCACCCACGCCGTCTTCCAAAAGACGCCGTACGCAACCTTTGACACGGCTGTCACGGAGAAATACGGTGTTGTCTACGACGGCGGGAATGCGCCCATCAAATTTTGCAACCTGTCCTCCATCGGGAGTATCTTCAACCTTTGCCTCATGCTCGCAGCCTGGCAGAATAAGACAGTGAAGTTCCGCAAGTTCACAAAGGAGGAGTGGGAGGCGTGGGAGGAGGCACAATTTCAGGCGGCCATGGATCGGATGAGCTCGGGTAAGTGAATACATCGCCTATACACTTTCCCCTACTAACCTCCGATCCAATCAGATACCTCCGACGTACCTCAACATGTGGACACGTCATCTATGGTGCATGCACAGCCCGCCTCGCAGCTCCTATCCCCTGCCACTCAACTCGAGTCCTTCAATGTCCAGCCGCCTCCTGCTGAGTTTGCACCGGTCTCCTTCGACTTCCAGCCTGCTTCCACCAGTCTCCAACCTCCGAGTGCAGCGTTCAACGGGGTCCAACCAACACCTGCAGATTATCAGCTCACCCTCGGCGGCTATCCGGTCGGGCCCAACTACCCGCCGGACCTTGGTTACCAGACTCCATCCGCCAATCACAAGCTGACGGCATTTGGCACGGAGAGTTATATGCCTCCTCCGCTCGCTCCCGCGGCCATGACTTTTGAGTTTGTGAACTCCTTCGTGGGCCCTAGCGGCCATGATTTTGTCCCTGTCAATGGGAACCGTAGGAAAAGGGCGAAGAAGTGAATGGTACTCGGATATATCTACTATACAAGTCTCTAGTCTACACTAATCTACTTTACTATTCTATCGCTTGTACTTCTCTTATAATGTTATTGATCTTGACAACTCAATGGCGGGCTTCTGACTTAGTAACAATACAAACTTTGGACTTACTACGCGGTTACTCAGTCTTGGCAGCCAAGTCAACACTTCGCTTAGGAACTCAGAATTAGTATGCGCAGCTTGAGTGGGCATGTGAAAGACTTCAATATTACAGAACATATGCATGAAGGTAATACACTACTAAGTCCTAGCTACGACAATGATAACAAACCTTCGTAATATCAAAATTCTGTAGAGCCATGAGGGTGATGAAAGAACCATAGACCGAGAAAGTGACGTACCCTCACCAGGGGGGCGTGCTAGCAATGCAGGGGCGAATCCAGCCGCCTAAGCTATGCTTCGGGAGGCAGTAGAGTGCTAAGGGGTAGTAGAGATCCAAGCCTGTGCCATGAAAGATAGGCGGCCATATGAAGGGTGTCAATGAGAATGAGAGAGCGTCGGAGTGGGTGAGGGGGCGTCAGAGTGGGTGAGAGGGCGTCGGAGTGGGTGAGAGGGCGTCAGAGTGGGTGAGAGGACGTCGGAGTGGGTGAGAGGGTGGTGGGGACAATGAGAGGGTGGTGGAGACAATGATAGGGCGGTGGGAAGGATGAAAGGGCAGCGGGGACAGAGGGAGGCCTTCCAGGAGAGATGGAGGGTGTTCGAGAGGGCGCGAGGATGGTGGGGAGAGCTTGAGGGCAATGGGGAGACTGAGAGGACAGCGAGGGCGGTGAGAGGGCGGTGGGGAATCCTGAAGCATGCTGGCAAGCTCTATAGACAGGTGGAGAGAGTCATGGAGCCGTAGGGAGGGGTACCGAGATGGCGAGGACCACTATGGGTTGTGAGAGCCAGCTGTGAGGTGGTGGTGGAAGATACACGTTGTGATGGATGTACCGTGACCGCGGCTGGCGGGAGAGGGGGTGCTGGGGGACATCCTGGATGTTGCGGGCTGCAGTGTATGGGCCAGAGGACAACGGAGGGGC